CTGTAAGTGCTTTTACTATGAATTAGTTCTGTTAGGTGGGTTTATGGCTTTTAAGATCAGGGTTTAAGGTCTAGGGTTAAGGTTAGGATTAGGGTTAAATTCAGGATTAGGATTTGTGACTGGGGTTAAGTTAGTACTGGTCAGAGAACAGTGTCAGAAATACCATTAGATGTCAAATTCCCACGAACTGCAGTCACCTGGATGAATGTGTATATGGCGCATGGTATAATTTCTCTATAGATCATCTGTGTAGTGACTGGGAGATATTCTAACAACACATGGCCCACAACTATACAGTGTGATATCATGTTTGCAATGTTTTCGAGTGCATTTTTCGACGATTATGTGAATTTATTGCATCTGAATTCTGACTGATAGTGACATGGCAGCTCGTCGCTTACGGCGTATTGGCAGGCTGCGTGTTTTACTCCCATATTTTTTCGGAGTTGTGTTGCTCGTTGTTGCAAACATATGTGTGCTATCAGTCATCAGGTTAACAGGTGACTGAGTTCGTGGCTTTTTGTATGATGAACCATAACCAATTAGTGAAAGAGCTGTCGGTGACATTTATGGAATTGGAGAAACACTTGTGTGAATCTCACAACGAAAATAGAAATATGTAGCGATCAAGCCAAGATGAAGCTAAAAATGAACCTACCGCATCGTAAATCACTGCCGTTAGTTCTCTTAGTCATATGAAATGCCTAGAAATCTGATGCTGGTTGTACTATCGCTAAGCTGGTGCAAGCCACGACACTACTGCTGTGAGATGGGTTTGTTTCTCTTTCTAGCTGCCCACAATCCCTAGATCATCCCCTGGGCGTCAGCAGGCTCACAAACGCTAGGTCGTTCAGTCACACCTGCTCCGCTTCGACCGCAGTTCATAGAAGTTTATATTTACCCATGTCAGAAGACTTCTGCACATGTATTTGTCCATCGTGACCCTGTGTGTCGCCTTCTGGAATCTTCATGCAATGGGCCGTATAAAGTCATCAAACGTGAAGATAGACCATTTGTCCCAGACAGATAGGCTGTGAAAACACTGTTAGTGTCGATCGTATGAAACCGGCCCAGAAGGCAATTCCATGGACCTCGAACTAAGCGTTCCGATCAATACACAGTTGAATGAATATCCGTTAGTCATCGAAGAAATGACCAGCACGGCGTGGGAAACCGAGCCTTCTTCCGAGACCCGAAGGAAAACGGGTTCTGGATGAACCGGGAGATTCCAATAACACCTCCATCCTTATTTTATATAAAAAGACTGACATGACCAACCTTCTTTTCTCCTTAAAAATCGGTCTATTGCGCTTCTGGCACATTTTTTATGCGTATAAATTATTTTACATTGCATCCACATCATAAGTTAGATGCTTTTATGACTACATGCAGCACCGATGGCAAAAAAGTGTTTCTCGATGTTATACTTTCCCATTATTATCCGTATGGTAGATGTCCACTTCAATTTAAACACTATGTTTCGTGCATTTTCCTCGACAAGGCACTAGAAAGAAAGCCATAGAGGCAGAAGATCCAACGGACAAGCACTAACATAGCGATGTACACCAGAATAGCTTAGGTAGGCGACTGCTAGGCAACCCATCAAGCCCATCGGAATAGTTTTGCTAGCGGTTCCAACATAAGGTTTTTATTCGCGGCGGGTTTCGTCTAAGGGTCCTCGTAAATTCACTAGCGGTGACTGATATGTAGCGGTAGATAATTCCCTAGATTTATTAGCCACAGCATTCGTCACTCACTGCTCAAGCCGACCTATTCAGCTGAAGGCTCGCGGTCAAGCGTCCACACAATTTGGGATGTTTTCGTGTTACGTTCAGTTGTTCGTGCGCAATCCCCAGCTAGTTAAAAAGTTGACCTTGCACTACGATTTTGGTCCCGAAATATACTTCTTGTTTTGGACGATCAATGCGGTGTTTTGCTTTTTCCTTGGTCTACCCGAAACAAACACCACAGGAGCTGTGACTGTAAGATCTTGCGTCAGTATTCGTCGTACTCTCCTTTAACGTCAACAGCCTAAGCCTCTAAATTGGACAGAGGTGGGCGTTGATCAAGGCATTTCAATAAGTGATTGAAACGCCGACATTTGTATTCCTCATAACTTCACGCGGCTTCTCAGATTTCAATGGGACGCCATCGCGAGAATTTAGTAGGACAAGCATTATTTACACGAGTGTCTTTACATACAGACGCCGGCAGCTGGTAACTTGAGAACTACTGGACCTAAGCTCAGTTGTCGTGTTTAGTTTCATTTAAGGGTTACTAATTGGGGTCTTTCTATAAAAGTAACATGTATGCGGTTTGATAGGGCGTACGAGATACTTTTGGTGAATAGGCCCATATCTGGGTGCATTTCGTTTGGCACAAGTTGGAGTGGATGATACGCACACTCCTGAAATCGACTACATACTCATTCATTTGTTAGGTAAAGAGATGGCCACTTGTTTTGACAGCACCACTTAATTGAAACAGCAGTGAACACCATGCTCTGGTTGGAGCTTTATGCAATCTTTGCTAGTACAACAGGAATCTTCTATCTCGCATACCTTATTAAGGCCTTATTTTTGGGCAATATGAAACGCGGTAAATTCTGCGGTATTGAACAGGCACTTAGTGCACCCCATCACTTCTGTGGAAATGCGGTCAATAACTATCCAAGAAGACTTCGGGGAACGTAGTCGGAGTAACCATAAGGCTTAATCAGGAACCTAAGATGTAGCAGGCCATTTACTAGACGAGAAATGTATGTGTTTTCAGGTGTGTTGGCTTAGATAGTTATGTGTTGCACTTCTGGTCAGCTAGTTGCATTTCCTGAGTTGACATGAGGTTGAGATACACGTGTTGGGGAAGAACGATGAAAATGCTTGCAGTAAATGGCATCATAAGCATTAGAGGTTACTGTGTCATAATCAACCGCTTGTCCGAGCATATGCACAGCCGTCTTAAGAGCATCAGTAGGAGTAGGAAGACAAGGTAGCATATGAGTTTTGTCAATGACTATAAGGCACTTTTGTACGCTATCAGTTTTAGGGGTATTGGCACAACGTTTGAGATTGTTCGAAAAGTCAACGGGTGAAAAAGTGAAAGAAAGTTACTATGAAAAGAGACATAACCTCATTGCCTCTCAGTCAGAGTTCAAATTCGTATATTAACCATCCACTATGTTATCTCCTTTTGGAAATCTCGATGACAACAGACAGTAAACTGATGAAGAGTCTGACTCTTATTACAGAAGCTTTCCAGTCGTATCACAGTGCATACTGAGAATCGAATATCGCCAACCTCCCAGAACTCTCTTCTAGGGGCCCACCAAGGCCGGGACAAGTACGTACCAGTATGAAACACAAAGTTCATTTGAGATTACAGAGCCTTATTTCAGTACCAAGAAGTGATCTGAAAGAAACTGACGTCCTTTATATTAATTCACACGAACGGTATCAGATCCATCCGCTAAATACACTTCACATTTACGATGATGAGTGGATAGAATAAAAGTTAAGCAATAGCGATCCGAGGGGAATTAGCCGAACAAAGAACATCTGATACACGGTTAGATCAAGGCGGTGAAACCAAGTAAAAAGCATAATATTCTCAAAGAAATGTCGAGAATGGTGAAAGGTACCAAGCAGGACATCTTTCTGTGTAACATTCTTCGTCCATTATGCATGCTGAGCTCCGTTTCTGCGCTTTCGAATAAATGGGCGGGTTAACGCAGTCGGCGGTTTGAAAGTCACGTGCGTTCGTTCCTCCTGGGTTGCTATTCTTCAACATACAACTATTCTTTAACTTATCCCCACTTATAACTCTCTCTTATCGTGAAGATTTGAGTGACTAAGAAGTCAAAAATTGTGTAGGGAACTTAATGGCGAGTTCACTAACGGAACAAATATTAGAATAAAAATCCAGGTTAATGAAATTACGTTATAAAAGTAAACTATAAAAATTAAAGTCAACGGGTTATATAAATTAATGGTTATTTGGTGATATCTTGTAGTCAGCTGCTACAAATTTTTGAATAATCCGCAGAGGTGTTCACTGCTGGATTCGTGTCTATTAGTAGAAGCTGTGAACCGGTTGTAGAGTAGTCTTCAGATGAGGATGAGAGATTCCCGCAACATTCATAGGATACAACACGGTTAGTAGAGAAGCAAGTAGACAGTGTGAAACAGTGAGAAGATGAAGCGTTGAGCAGCACACTGTATTTTAGATAGTACTCCAAAGCTGTGTATATTTCACAGTGAATCATTTCAAACAGAAGTTATGTACAGTGTTTCTCTTTTTAACATCTGACAAGAAAATGTGCATTTATGTTGTTCCAGACATCACAGGTGTAATAAAGCTCATCTCCAAAAAATTTCATCAACTGTCCGTTCTTACGTTTTTTTCTTTGTTTTCTTTTTAAGTCCACGCAATCTATTATTGTTATCTCCCTTTTAGACTACACCGGACATTAAACGGGTAAGAGAATCGACTCTACTCATTGTAACGACATGGTATTAGCACACTGCACACTACAGACCTCATATGATCAATCCTAGAACCGCTGCCTTTGGATTCAACCAGAGCTACATCATTATAGATAAGATTTTATTTCGATAAATCACACAGTGTTGTACAGTAATACTAACTGATGACGTTTCGAGCACAAATTATTGCTCACAATCATATCAAGTCACTCAAACAACTTTTTAATATTACTGTACAACGCTGTGTGCGTCGGTGGCACAGTGGTTAGGACTCTCGCCGACCATGCACTTGGTCCGGGGTTCGACTCTCTGCCGACGCACACCTGATATCTATGGTCGGCCTGCAAAATTTGGGCTACCGATATCACATGCTGAAAATTCTATACCTGTACCCAAAAAATACGGTGTGGAATCAAGCTAGAATCAAAAAAAAATAATGGAGTTATACTCTACCACAGTGGACAAGTTTTATACCTATATAACAGGTACAACAGTTGAGCGATGGAACAAACTTTGCAGAAGTTATCCAAAGACCAAGGATCTTCACCTTACGACCAAGAAGAGAGAACAAAGAAATCAATTTGGTTTACAGTAGCTCGTAGAAACGATATTGCATCGGAGCTCGGACTTTCAAGGCGGCTGGTTGAATTAATGCGTTTCGGTGTTGCAAATGTCAACATCAGGGTCCTTGTCAGGTTTTCAGCGTCTTCCTAAACTCATTGTATTTGATCTTGGTAAGAGCAACAGTCAAGCTTCTAATTATACAGACTTCACGCTGTGGCCGTTATTTTGTGACACTCATGTATCACCCCCATTTGTACGAAAGTATGGCTTTTAGAATTCTACAACTGTTTCGTCCACCAGAAATAATGTAATATATGACTCATATGAGAGTCGAGTTAATGTCTATCCAGATTCGGAGAAAATACTTCGGTGAGTTTTCTGTTGTGAAAATACTCATGCTGTCGTTCAGTGTCATCAATGCGTCAACCACAGTGAAACTGGCTTGTGCTTCACGGTAAGGACTTAACTGTTGGTGATGTGTACCGATTCAGGCGAAGATGAATGTAATGGTTCAAGTGAATGAACCTACGACGGAATTTGACACATTTAATCACCCATTGTATAACCAAGTAAATTATAAGGTTAAATTAGCAAACTATGAGCTAGTTTTGCGACAGGTTAATGTAATAGAAATGGTGAAATTCTAGGTAATAAAACAAAAATAATGTTCTCCAAAATCCCCATATTCGCCTCCAACTTCTTGAAGATCCTGTGGTTTTCCTCATAATCACCCTCGAGATTCCTCAATCTCCCTCTGAAACTACCCTGCATTAAAACTACCTTGCAATATACACCTCTGAAAAGATCTAATTTCTAATTTGGAAGAGTATGTCGATGGGGCTGATACTACTTGGTCGGGTAAGGATTTCCAGTCGTTGACCACTTTCTGAGAGAATCTAAATGCACACGGCGGTTTGAGCAGCTTTTTGTGGTAACCTTGTAAATGCATTCTAAAGGAAGAGAGAAGAGTAGATTCTGGTAGGTAGATACCGATTCCTTGTTCCCTTCTCTGAAGATGGGGTTTATAATTGCATCCTTGCAATTCCTGTTGGAAATACTTTTCGTGACACCCTAGCCACATTTCAGACCCATATAGAAGAACTGTCTCAACCTTGGTGTTGCAAATCTGAACCTTGTTCCTTATGCTGGGTGTTGTAGATTTCCAAACTGATTTCAGATTAATAACGGTTTCCTTGCTGTTCCGATCCTGATCGGTTGTGATATCCTCATCTATTCTGAATTCTCTAGTTAAGGATCATAAAACCATTTAAGCCCATTAGGAAGGGAAAATCTAGAACAGGACGAATAACTTGACCAAATCTCCTTATTCAAAATAACATTCACGAAGTTAGAAAGTATGTACATTTAAGACATGAAGAGAAGTGAAATGTATTAAAGTCTGAAGTTTTTATTCGAGTGGCAACAAACAGATCCGGTCAGCTTTTGTACGTACCATTTCTTCGTGTGATCCAATTCTTTGTCTAATTTTCTGTTTTCAAATATCGCTGTAAAATCTTTCAGTGGAATCATTGTGAGTTACAGTGAATTAGATCTATGAAATATGGGAAATGGCTTGCACTGAAATGCATTTCATTCAGTAAAGATGTTTGATTATGGTATAGTATTCAAACGGCAATTCCCCTATCAAATGTGTGTCCTTTTCATGAAGTAGTTCCTTAAAGACCTGTGGTGTTGTTGACATAATCGTGTACAGCTAATGAATGAAACTGACAACGGAATTTCTGTCAACAAATTCTGTAATTTAAATATTCCCATTGAGAGGATTTCAGAACACGACGTAAGCAAGCAAACACGTATTTCGGTAAACTCTTATCAGACTTTACTATTACATAATAGAATATTTTTTCATAGACATTTGAAACAATGTGGATGAATAGAATCAAATATAGTCGAAAGGAATGTAAGTCAAATAATAATGATTATAATAACAACCGGGATTACTATCCTAAATAGAGGTTGACGGCCTTGGAAAGAGAAGGGATTGAATGAACAAACAAATTTTTATGTCAACTGCCTCACCTATGTTAAGCAACCGAAGACATACCGACCTAGGGAATTGAGGTGGAACCTTGTATAGAATTGTAGACGCGGAGTTTTGATCAGTCTTGTGATCCCCGTAACCACATGGTGTGGGAATCCTGATTGAATCAACGTCTCGTTTGCCTAACCATCTTGGACAATGCTGAAGAAGGCTATGGTGGGCTTTCCAACACGTTCTACCTATGCGACTGTCTCCACAAGAACAGTTAAATTTGTAAGTGCACAATGAGGTGGCCGGCCTCGGCAGCTCATCCCTCACTTGCATTGGAATTATACAACGAGTGGTGAATTTTAAGCGTAGTTCGGTGGCGAGAAATGTTTTAGCTATTATCTTTCGGAGTTCCTATGTCAGTAGTTCAGTGACTGTGTCTCCTATGAACGGCAAAATCTGCAGTTTCCAAGCATTTCTCTCTACTGTTCTCATCACGGAGACTTTAACAAATTCTTCTGGATGTGCTGCAGTTCGAGTCACCACACATACAACTTCAAGCTTTAGATTTGAAGTTGCAGTAGGAATGGTTTTAGTTTCACAGGGTGGGGTTGCAAACTCACGCCCAACCTTCCCTCTTCACTGGGATTACTACCAGTTTGACTAGGTGTGAAGGAGTGCGTCGACCGGGAATCGAACCCCAGACCACATGTGCGGCCGGTGAGCATTCTACCATTGATGTACATTGAGATTGATTAATTGTCAAGTAGCTTTGTAGAAGCCGTGAAGTCAGCTAGGTAGCTGGCTAGCTAAACAACCCGTTCAGTTAGTTTAAGAATTGTATTATTTAAAAATATGGTGAAAAGTTAAATGCTGCGTGCCCACTATCTCTTTTCCCTGTCTCTCTCTATCTTTCCTCTATCCATCTACTAGTACTCCTGCAATCAGAGTGGCTGAACAACTCTTACAAATTCTAGGCTGGTCAGATCTATTTGATTATAAGGAAATTTATCCTGGATGCAAAATTACCCATTTTAAAAGGTATGTTTCGCATGATAATTATCGTAATAATTATGCCCCTCAGTTTAAAATATGTCAGACACTCATCATTGTCGAACCGGGCAGTTATTTAAGCATTCCTCCAAATTCTTTTGTTTATTTAACACTTACTCAGTTGGAAATATTGAAGACTGTGTCTTGATCTTTTCCCTAGAAGTTGACACCAACTTACGTCATGTGTTTGTGTGTGTTTATGGCGTAGACGCGATATCCGACTACTGATTGTGAAGGAACTGTGCATTGCGCAGCAGTTTGCTCTGTCCTCCTGTTTTCTCACTATGAACTGTGGCTATTGAAAGTGGGAGATATACGAAAAAACTAATTTTCTTCTACTGGAGATGTTTGCATTCTGTCTTCTGTGTTAAATATGGTGACTGACTCCTTTCAACGTAGAACTTTTCACAGATGTGCAGTAGTTCGAGTTGCCACACTCCATGTAGCACACAAAGCAAGAGAAGAGATTCAAGAGAGATAATAAAGAGAAGTGTGAGAAACTATAGGAATATGGAAGAACAGTAGAATTTTATTGGATGTTATAAATCACAAAGAGTGAATTCGTCTACGTCAGCTATTAAGAACGATCAGTTTGAGCCATATCGCCAATTGCCTCCAGCCTTCATTGGTCCTTACCATCACGAGGACCCTAACAGTCAGGAATTTTACACCTCCCTACGTGGTTTGAACTAACTGTAGTGGATTTCATGGACTGATGAGGCCAGCCATGTTTTGGTTTGACCACCACTAGCTATCTCTTCCAACCTGATCCATCGTATGTCAGCTAACATTGCTCATTATCGAGGAAGGTGATGGCGAAACATATGTTCTCACCACCTCAATCGGTGTAGTTTCACAACCTCGTCGATTGATTTTCCCTCCTTACCTGGCCCTCGACCGATGCCTAACCTCAATATTGCTCAGCTTATTATACCACCACGTAACATGGGAGATAGAACGCAGATACCTATGATCAAAGACAGCTAGCAGGCCTTTTCATGTCTTCCAATTTCAATGCCATATCTCACTCACAACCAGCCATACAAGAGGACAGATCTAACTGCTGAGCAGTACACACGTCTTTGGTTTACAGCCAGCATGATATCACGTCTACTAAGCCAGAGATGGCGTAAGTACGCTCTTATTGTAAGTTCAACATCAAGAAAAGGAATGTCAGATTCATTTTCTATTTGAAGAGTACACTTTGTTGCTGGGTGACAGCTGTTGAATCTCTCTGTAACAATTGATTAAGATGATGACTGTCATCACAGATAATAAAGATGTCATCCACATATGTGGCATACAATTGAAAATTATCAATAGTTGACTTGAATGGTCGATTGTCGATGCTAGTCATGAAACAGTCTGTCTGCAATGAACCCAGGGGAGATGCCGTTCCAGTCGCATCGTTGTGTTTGTAAATGACATTGTTGAACGTGAATTGCACATTAAGAGTGCATCTCATTAGTATTTGTACTAGTTTCTTTAAATTAACGGTTGGTAATCCGATATTCAGCTGGTTTTCGTCTGAATATTGACAGACAGTTTCTGTGATTGGAACGTTGGTGAATAGTGATTCAATGTCAGGAGAAAGAGAGCATACTTTTGTTCAACAAGTTGATGTCTTGTATGCAGTCGACAAGTTGAATGGTGTCACGAAGCGAGTGGTGGCACATTTGTTTTTACTTACATGTTGTAAAATGTCATCTAACCATTTCCCAGTTGAATGGTATGGAGTGGGGTACCGCACTTGTCTAGAATTGGACGCATTGGGAGATCGGCTTTGTGTGTGTCTTTAGTAAACCGTATAGTCTTGGTATATTTGATCCTGTTGGTCTCAAATGTGATCATAAATTTCAAGGTTGATTGACTAACTAACTGCTCGGTTTTCATTCTTTTGAGAAACCAAGAGTATATATGGTTTAGCAAAGACACACACACAGACATAAGGCTAGTCTCCCACTGCGTGCTGTTTGTGTATATCCCACCTTCCCCATAACATTCAATTGTGGAATGGGAAATACTTTTTCGTTGATATTCATGTCTATGAAACGGTCCAAGTGTTTGGGGAATACGCCTCTGTAAGTGTTCAAATCTCTCCAAGGATGATAATTTTCTTGCCTTGTACTAGCACTCTGTTATAACACTGTGTTATATGAAAAGATTGATGTGTTATTGTAACGGGTGAGAGGATAAGGGATGGGATAACGGACTACTTTATTCAGGAAACAACAACAACACATCACATTTATGCTATCATCGTCAGAGTAGAGTATGGCGACATCATTGAAGAATAAGTTGTTCTGATTGATTGATTGTCAGTGGGCTCAAGGTTAAACGAGGCTGTCCAATGAGGCTGTTTCACATCCACAACGTGAACTAGATTCCGATTTTTGATGAATAAACACTTGACTGGTTTCTATCAATCTGCATCATCACGCCACACTGTTTGTGTTTGTGCTTTGGACACTTTGACAGCATTCTCTCCTTTTAACACAGTGTTAAACTTTTTGATTTTCATTCTTTTGTAGATTTCATGAATTATCTGGTATAGAGTATGCAGATATGGTGTTTTTTGATGATGAGAAACGTAATATCAAGGATATCTGTGGATTAGGTGTACAATGTCATCTAGTTGAACGTGGGATAACATGGAATCTCTTCGAACAGGCTTTAAAACAGTTTGAACGTAAACACAAACACCCACACACGCACGCACGCACGCATCCACTAAATGACAGTTGAACTCTCGTTAATTTCCTTTAATAATAAGATGAATGATTAGTGAGTGCCTTTGTCTATTTACATCTATTCAAGTTCAATTTGTTGTGTTGTGTCAAGCGATGAGGTCCTTTCTTCTGATTGTAAGCCTTTGTATATTTTTTAATATTGAATAAAAGGTTTAGTAAATCAAGTTGTCTTAGCTTTCTTTCTTCCTATGCGAAAATGTACTTGAAAGCAAACAAACTACTTGACTTGCTGTTTAAGGTTATTGTTATTATTCGTCCGTGCCTGGAGCATGGACCCCTGTAGCAGTGCATCAGCATTGTATTCTATCCTCTGCGATGTTTTGTTTTAGCTGGCTCCACGACTACACCTACACACACACACAAGCTTTCGTTTCCTGTTTTCATGTGATGTAATCATCTATTTCATCCTTGTACACCCAACTCGCCGTATTCCATGCGCGTTCCACTTGACGACCTGGTGACTGAACAGTCTTCTTAGAGTATGTGTCGAATAGATCTACATATTTATCGGGCGATAAGTTGTTGGTTGTATCGTTCCCAGTGAGTTGGTTGTTGTGAACCCTGTCTTGCCATTTTACTTCATCAGTAGAGAGCTTAGGAGACAGATGTCGATGAGAGTCTATAGTAACCTGTGCTGGAAGTGTTTTAGATGGCTCACGTTTCAAGTCTCTAAACCATATAGAAACAAAGAATGACTTGAAAATTTGGAGCGCGACAGATTTCCGCATTGATTTCAGAGTAATAACCGTCGGTTATATGTGTCAAGACCCGAATTCGAACTGTTAAAGTTTGAAAAGATTTGGGTACCGAATATGGGCTGTAGTCATTATTATAGAAGTTTTTGTATTTCTCAATGAATGAAAAACAAAACGATACTGTCGTTGTTTTTACTGACGTTTCGCTACTACTTAGTGCTGCTGCGAATAGCTTTATCAGTGTAGTAATATTAAACCAGAATTTACAAAATTTCAGTTCATATATCGCAAGTTAGTCGTCATCCATCTGCATTTTGGTAATTTTAAGTTGTCAGGTTGGTCAATTGGTAGGGATAACAAAACCGTTGATTTCGTCATTCCATGTGGGTTGGGTAGATGGGTGTTAGCACCCGGTCAAATTCTGTTTTTGTCCATCACTCCTATTCAGACAATTTCGATTCCATTTAATGATGTGAAGTGCTTCGGATGATATCAGATATTCCCTGTGGTTACTGAAATTTTTCTGGATTATTTCAGTATTGTCAAAATCAATTTTGCGACTTGATTTCATGCAGCGTGTATACGACCTATGTGTGGTGATTTTTCTTCAAGCATTTCTAGTTGACTAACTGGATTTCCTGGTGATCGAACAGCGGCGGTGGTTCTTTGGATCTTCACTTCTCTCTGGCAATGTTAGTCCGATGTATATCGTGCATCACACATTCCAAGCATTTAATTTTGTAGACGCAATTGGATTGAGAATCCTTAAGAATTTGGTCTTTTATGTGGACAAGGTTGTTTTGGGGTGTGTGTTCCTGATGTTTTGAGGAAGACTCTGATGTCGTGCCGAATGATTACTCTTCTGATATCGTCTGATGTTTTTGATCTGTATGGGGAGTGACAACTGTTGAGGCACATGTCTTCGGAATATGTATTCGACCATGTTTATTGTTGGTATTGATTTTGTTATCGAAATTGTTTCGGTAGCTATTTATTCTTGAGAATCTCAGTAATGTTTGATATTTCCTCTTCTTCTCTCTCCTTCTCATCCGTTAACATCAAAGAATGTGCTCGCCTGACACGTTTGCGGTGATGGGGTGTGATGATCCGAAACCTAAATATTTGTTGTAGGAGTGAGTTTATCTTCCTGAGTAGATGCAGGTATATTGAATTATGTTTTCTTTCCTCTTAACTAGGCTAGGCAGTGCAGAAATGGTAGTTCACCGAAGTTTGATTCTGCCTGCTTCCGATGTCAACTGGATGCTGGGAGATAGATTGTTCAGTTTCTCGAAGAATGAATTATGTAGAGCTCCTTTGAGCACAACGAGAGAAAGTGACATCAAAGTGTTGTATCTCAGCCATATTTTCTGCGTCGAGTATGTTTGGAAAGATATTTTCTTGAAATGTATTCATGAAAGATTCAGCGACTATTGAGGAATCTCGTTGGGTATCTTTACCACCTGTGTCTTCCGTATGTTCATCAGAAGTCTTGTCTTATCTGTCACTTCTTCTCCTTCTGACAACTTGCTGGATTTCGCCTGTAGATTTTTGAATTTGTGTGACATTTGGTATAAATCATCATCAAGACTTCTAGAGAGTCTTTATTTGTCAGTACAATGTATGCAAGTCTTTTCATCACTCTCCATGAACAGTCTTCCAACTAATTAGAAGGATCATTGATGGTTGTTTAGGCTATAAGAGTTGATGTTTGTTTGTGTGGTATTTTGTGTCCTTATCTACTTGCAATTGTTGTTGACAAATTCATGGCATGATACTTCGTACAATAATAATGTCTCCCTTTGCTGCATTACGAGTGTCTTCAGAAATCGTCTGTATTCATCAATCAATGCTATTTTCGAAAAAGCATTAGTAGTTAGGGTTACATATATACACATATGCATCTTCAGTGCTGAAATTGGTCGTTATGCATTTCATCATACATGTCATTTGATGGTGGTGAAATGCTGATCCACCACAGAAGTGGTCCGAGTTCGACTCCTGGCTGATGCTGAACTCGTAAACCACTTCTGGTTTACTAACCCCGGAAAGAGGTCAGACCATTGTTCTTAAAAAGCAACCCCATTGCTACTATCGCGTTAAAAGAATGAAGTTTTATATTCCAATTGGAATGCAAGGTATGCCATTTGATGCGCACCTACTCAGTATTGATGAGTCCAAACTATTCGGCCCCTTTGGTACATGTTCAAAGAATCTGACCTACTTGAACATCGTTTTATCGTTCACACATCAGACATAAAACGGTTTTCTGCTGATCATAACTATATCTGCTACTTTACATTCTCCATTGCCATCTTTGTTGATGAAACGTTTTGTTGGTAGGGATTCACTTTCAGGTATTTCTCAAGCAACGTAAGTTCACTGTTCACCTGTTATTTTCCCCCACAGAACAACGTCTTGACCAGCGTTCGTTTATTGCTGACTGGTTAGAAGCTGTTGAAATTCAGGTAGAGACCAGTCCATGTCTCTTTGTGAGAAATCAACTATCCGAGTTCGATTTATTTATGCATTTTTCTCTCAAAGTTGATGTCTGAGGAGTTGAATCTGTTACCATCTTCGTCTTTCCATTGTGGTGGAAGTGATGCTTCAATGAACATTGTTATAAATAAGGCAAGCTAATACGAAGCATGACTCAGATTATTGCTTACAATCAATGTGTTGTCTACATACTTGAGGTAGACTATTTTTTTATCAGCTACAAACACATACACACATTTCAGCTCTGTCTGTTCACCGCTAGCCATATATCATTTTGGTACTACTTTTTGTTGTCTCACTGGAACTGTATATTCTTGGTACATGATAAGAGAAGTTGCTGAAATTCAGTTTTGGATGAATGGAGATCAGCATGCTGTCAGATGATGTCTTAATTCTCATGTGAAGAGGTAACTGTGTCACCAGGGAGGTCAGTTATATGCTGAAATTATTCGTTATGCATTAAGTCATGAATGCTAATTGATGGTAGAATGATCACCAGTGATGCACGCAGTCGACTGCCGGTCGATTTAATACCTCTAGTCCACTACTGGTTTACTAAACGATAAAAAGCCAGAAGAAGAGGGAGTGTTAGAAGTGGGACTAGCAGACCCACTGCAGGCGAAAAACGACACTTGTGACACTGACATTTGCACAACTTATGGGAATCTCATTTTATACAAGATAATGAGTTTACTATCCTTATAGTGTCTTCCTTGCGTTTCTTTATTGACTATTTGGTGAGTAACAAGATCGTCAATTTTTGGATTGAATTTGTACAATTGCGACATCCTGATTGTCGATAATCTAATATATTTAAGATGGCGTCAAAAATACTATTTCGAAGAAGAATTAGTTTCACCTTTTCCACATAGGTAGGATTCAAGCGGACATGAAAGGTTTTTGCACACATATGTTTTGCTAATTTCGTTCCCTACTTTGTTATATTATTTATTATCGTAATATATATCTGACTAGCCTTCAAAACATCTCTTCAGATGATCAATTGCCTATACTCAGGCTGATCTTCTTCTGGGTTGAATTGGATTAATGCGTCAGTGAACTATGTTAATCTTTAGAACCTGTAGACTAAATCTGTTTTTTAAAGGTAGTTTCATAAAGTCGATTTAATAGTAATAATTATAATAGTGTTGTGTTTCACCAAAGGGTTGAGACAGCTATCTATTTCCCCAACCCGCACTACTTAAGGGAGAACGCACAATGGTGTAAGCTGCCGACTGTATCTCACTCAATAATGTATATTTCAAAATGCCATCAAGAATGTGACAATTAGTCTGTAATCATGACCAATAAAATACTGGGTGTTATTTTATTCTGGTCAATTCCGATTGTTTCATCTTCAGACTGGAGACTATCGATTACTTATATAGGCGTGTAACGACAGAAGGCAAGACTCAGGCAACAGATTGTTTATTAATGAAATCAACACATATTTTAATAGATTTCCGTGTACATTATTATAGATTATTGTTAGCTGACAAACACAGTTTTCTGATTGGTTGTTTTTCACTAAAAGTCAATCTTTCATCTCTATGTTGCTGTCTCTTGAGTGTCAGCTCATCTATCTGCTAATTGTATCCGCCTACGCAAAGTCTGCTGTCCATCTTTGATCATATGTTTTCACATGACTAATATTTGAGACATAAACATTGACGTCAATTACTGTTTACCAATTTGGCTAGCAGCCATCTCTCACCACAGGCTGAATTCTGATTGGTTTATTTCCAGACCTGACATCGACCACCATATCAAAGGTCTTTATTCTAAATAATACATTTGGTGTTCCCAGCATGTACTGCAACATCGTGTCTAGTTCTCTCTTTACACTACATATTAACGAGGGAAATAATAAAGTGGGTAATTACGGTGATAATAATGTCAATAGGAGCATGAACGTGAATTTATCAATCAAGTAGAAATATTCAGAATACAAAAAGAGCTGTATACTATTAACT